ACAACAACAACAGTGTAATAATATAGTCAAAATAGTCAATAATTTTCTTTTACTTCTTGTTGAATTTCTTTTTCTTTTCGAGTTGTCCGTGTACGTGCCTTAATAAAAAAAGTCGATTTTTTTTTTATTTATTTCAATATGCTGGACAACTTTGGATAGCAAAAACAGTATTTCCCATTGATGATGAGAAGGGAATGCTGAATTTTTTTTTGTTTTTGCTGTTTCAAGTTGTTTTTTTTTGTTTCTGGGAAATTTTCTCCCCAAAAAAGAAACTAACCCATTGTAACAATTCAAGTGAAAAAAATATTCAAATTTTTAGTTTTTTCTTTTTCTTGATTTCCTGATCAAATTTCAATCATCGATTTGTGTGTGTGTGTGCAAATGTTTCAAATGACAAACCAAATGAAAAACAAATTCCATTGAAAAGAATATATGATAATTTTTCTTCTTTTTTCTTGTTTAGTTTGAATGAAACACATGTGTTGGTCATTTTTGGTTGAGAAATGAGAAATTCTTTTTGGTTTGTTTTTTTTTCTGGAAAAAATATTTTTGGTTTAAAGTTATCAAAAATGAAATTTTATTTCAATTTACCATAAAACAAAAAAAAAGAGAAAAAAAATCAAGAAAATCGAGAAAATGGAAATTGACAAAAAGCAAAACAAAGAAATCAATCGATAATTTGCATTTAAAATTCAAGAATTTTTGATTTGTTTGAATCAAAATTCAATTATACAAAGATTAAATTAAGAAAAAAAAGAACAAGAAAAAGAAGAAATGTTTAATTGTATAATTAAAATAAATGGATTGTCTTTTGGCCCAAAGAAGAAATTGATCAACTGATTTATAATCAAAGATCACATTCAAAATTGACATTGAAATGAATCGGATATCAGCGAATTTTTTCTCTTCTCTTTTTTTTTGATTTGATTTGCCATTCACTCACTCACTCACTCATATCATTATCATTAAAATTGATTAAATCATGACTATGATGATTATAATAATGGGCCATTACAAAATGGTCCAGAAAAAACAAAACAAAACAACAACAACAAAAATAACAGCATTCAATTTGATTTTAAATGTCAAATTTTAGTTTTTCGGACCCAATTTTAATCTTGTTTTGTTTTTCGTTTTGTGATGATAATAATGATGTGCAATTGTGACATCAAAATGGTGATCTTTGATCATTTTGTTT